CTATTCCAAATTCATGATTAGTATACAAAGCAAGCCACGTCTCACGGCCACGGTCTGTTCACGCAGTCTACGGTCCCTCCTCTACGACCAAAATCAGCAACCTCTACTTGCTCCGCTCTACATTGACGTAGTCTCAAACTCGGTATACCTTAGTTATGCCAAACGGGAAACGTAAACGCTAGTCACGTGTTTTTTCCAGCAGCACAAAGTTCGAGTCGAGTTGAGGAGTGCAACCTACACAAAACAAAACCTTTCCTACTTCACACCGATTCGGCAGCAGCTGATTTATCCCATCGCCAAAACCCCAAACTCCTGAATGGCATTGCAAGATGATGATCCTCACGAGAGACAGAATGAGACTGCCGACCTAGGGCAGTACCTCTCAGATGCCTATGGACCATGTCTTTGCGAGCCGACTCCTTCCACAACAGGCTGCCATCACACGAACATATTCGGTCCAAGATCCTCCCCAGGAAGACCTCAGCTAAAGAGGGGTCAGGAGAATAACGTCCTCATATACTCGGGCTGCTTCAATCCGCCGCACCTGGGCCATTACAGTCTCCTCCGACGGGCATTCGAAGGCAGCCAAGATCTCAACGTCATCGCTGCCGTCGTATATCCGGTCAGCACGAGAGTACTGGAACGCAAGGCCGAAAGGAGGCAACAATGGCTCATGTTCAACATGGCCGACCGCGTACGACTTTGGCACGGTGACTCGAATGACCCTCAGTAGTACTGGACTCACGACGGTGGCAGGCTCAAGTTTGAAGACATGTGGAGTCGTGTTCTGAGAGCAGTCAAGCGAGACGGCTTCAATCTCAAGTTCATTGAGGTAGCAGGACCTGATCACGTCGTTCCCACGCGCGTATTCAAGCCGTTTGAGTGGGATTTCGAAATCTACAGAACTATCTTGAGCAATGCTGGAAGAGAGTTTGATCTTCTTCAACCTGGAGGGCAGCTCGAGAGAATGCGTGGATATGGGTACTGGGAGGATGCCATTGACTATACCAAAGCTGCGAATCCAAAAAACGACTATCCAGACTCGGAGCACGAGATGGTCGAGGACATGGAGCGAGCCATTGTCAGCAAGCCTCGCTTTACGCTACCCTCACCCCAATCGACAGGCGGGGCAAATGCACAGCCACATGAAGGTAGATGGATCAGTTTTGCAACCAAAAGTACGAAGACATACGCTAACAAGCACATGTATCAGTGGATGGTCGCATCCCAGACACGGACAACGAACCAGTCGCAGTCACCGACGCTCTCTCTGAAACATGCATATCAGAAAACGATGCTGGTTCATATAAGAAGACGGAACACGGAAGCAACATTATTGTTCCCGAGAGACGGAAAATCAAAGTTTGCCGACGAATTGGCGACTCGGAAACTTGGGTTCGCTTCGTTCCAGCGGATGCCACGCCCTTGACATTCAGCTCAACCCTGATTCGGCGTATTCTGGAAGGAGGCTTTCCGAAGGATGGGAATCTGGCGGGAACCAATTGGACGCGAAGTATGCTGGAGGACGAGACCCTTGATAGTGTCAAGGACATGGTCCTGCATCCGGAGGTGCTGGCAAGGATTATGCTTCAACGACATGGAATTCAACGACTTGACGAGGCTTGACGGGGGATTGGATGGAGCTTGATCAAATAGGCAGCGGACTTGAGCAGGCAGGATTATTGAAGTGTCTCCTAGCAAAACGTTGGTTGGACATCCACAACCTGGCACCAGTTTCTTTCGAGATAGCTCTTCCCTCGAATTCATGACACTGCTATAAGAATGCTTCGATCGTGTTTCTTTTCGGTTTTCTCCATCTACTCAGATAACTACATGATTCTAGCTGATGACAGGCCATTTCATCGTAGACGAGAAGCACATCCTTGGTTCATTTTCGCCCTTCTGAATACCGACCAGAATCAAGGTCGCGTCCCAAGCAAATTTCGATACAATGGGAGACACAGCCTGTCCCGAACTCAAGCCCATACGGTGAAGCCAACCAATCTTTCAAGCTTTTCTAGTTAGTAGACCATGACAGGGCCACGACCTTGTCTCCGTTGACCAATGCTGCTTTTCTAACGCTTATCTGCAGCAGAGTTCTTCCCACCCGACTTTTGATGAGGTTGCAAAAATATCGAGCAGAACTCGCTTGCATAAGATCTTTCAATCAGGAACAGCGGCGAATACTCATAGCACTAGATCAGTCCGTTTACAAGTTGATGTGTGGTCTATCAAATTTCTTGCCTTCAATGGCCTATCACCACCAGATGAGTAACTAAAAACCTCGATTACCAATTGCATGTCCCGCAGAAACCAGGCAAAACCACTCAACTTCAGATGTGTTTACGAGCGTCACAAATTCTATGCAGAAGTATGAGCATGCCGGCTCGAATCACTCATGCCTTCAAAATAGGGCAATTCACATGCAACGTCATTCTAAGTTCCATAGCAGTGGCCGTGATCAACAACAAGAACACGGGATTGAATTAACTGGGACATTCCCATCTGGCTCGGGCTCACATAATCAGCTTCTCAGGCAAGGCTTCGAGTTGGTGAAATGGATAAACTCGTTAATTATAGGCCATGTCCTGCAGTAGCGTAATCAATAGCCACCAGCTGAAAGCCAGATGCGGAAATATTAAGAGACAGGCCCCAGTCGACGAGCTAGCAGCCCTACAGTTTTGGAGTAACGGCAGCACATAAAGGGAGGACCCTGCCGATAAACACCATTTACTGATTGTGCATGGGCTTCCCTTGTGTTTGCCTCAATAGCCGCGGCCTTCGTCCCAACAATGACGGCAACCATGCCTTCCGTGCCGCTTTTGCCGGATCAGCAAAACATTGTTGAATTCAGCTATACAAACGACAAGGTAATCCTTCCCTCGGCATCAACTCACATCAGACTTCTCGAACTCTACCCATCGACACACGGATTTGACGCCGCATCCGCATCCGCGTCCGGAGCACCCAGTAATACAGACGAAGGTGATTCTGACAACGCGTCGTCTCACTACTCGAACCCTCTCAAATGCGCTCTCTCGACGACCCCGATCGCCACGCCGCGGCTATACAAAGCGCTGTCATACACCTGGGGCACATCGAGAGCAACTCACAGCATTGACATCGAGGGTGCGAGCTTGCTCATCACGGCCTCGCTCGACACGGCGCTGCGACATATTCGTCGTAAAGATGAGCCCGTCACGCTCTGGATCGACCAGATCTGCATCAACCAGGAGGATGGTGCGGAGAAGGGAAATCAGGTGGCCCTCATGACCCAGATCTACACCAAAGCGGAACAGGTCATCGTCTGGCTGGGTCCGGCAGAGAGCAACTCTGATGCCCTCATGGAGTGTTTGCAAGAGATTGGACAAGAGGCTGCTGACCTGAACATCGAGAGCTACCTCACCAAGGAGCGACTGCCGCTGCTGCACAGGATCATGAGAAACGAAAACCCAGAAGACCCAGTGACTATGCAATATCAGCCTCTAATGGCCAAAGCCGTGGCCAAGTTCAGACCCCTCCTACACGAGATGATTGCCTGGAACGAGAGGGTGTGGTTCACTCGGGTCTGGATCATCCAAGAGCAAGCTCTCGGTTCCGATCCATTCTTCCTCTGCGGGTATAAGACAGTAAGACTGGACCTGATTCCTCTCGCTACTCTCGTCTGGGACGGGTGCATGTCAACGCTCAGCCTGCCGACTGAAACCAGCGAGTTCAGGCAGCTTCTGCTCAAGGCCCAACAACGACGTTTGAGTCCTTTGATGTCCCTGAGACGTAGGCGCCGGAACTTCGTGAAGGGCATAGGACCGGGAGATGACTTCTATTACTTATTGAAGAAGGCGTACGTCGATGGGGCCGCCCAAGTGACCAATATTCGAGATAGAATCTACGGCTTGCTCAGTATTGCCAATGATGCGGATAAATTAGGGATTACGCCAGACTATGTCACCGAGGATAGCCGACCCACCTTCATCGACGCAGCTCATGCTCTCATTCGTGTTGGCCGTCTGGAGATGCTCTCATTCTCGCAGTCCCAAAAGGACATTGAAGGATTACCATCCTGGGTTCCGGACTGGAGGCCGACCCTAGAGCATTCTTACTTGTACGCATTCGAGGATGCAGACAATCGCATTTTGCAGGCTTCAGGCGAGACCTCGACTGAGCTTGTGCCCACGGACGACCGCGGCGTGCTCGGGATTCGCGGTATCCTCGTTGACGCCATCGAAACAACAGGTGACGCGTGGAGGTGGGAACAAGGCCAAGAATGCCGCTACAAGCTTCTCCAGACTATCAAAACCTTGTGTGAGGAGGCAGCTACAAAGGGATTTAGCCACGAGATTTACGAAAATAGTGACAGACAGGCGGAAGCCATGTGGCGGGTGCCCGTGGCAGATCTGTACTGGAACGAAGGGGCTGTCTACAGGTACCAACGACCCGATCCAGCCGTCAGAAGCGACTACGAGGATTGCATGCATTGCCACAAGATGCTCTCCCTGACGTTCGAGGTCTTTCCCCCAGAGGAACGCCAGCAGCTTTTGGACGAGTTCAGCAGACGAATTCCGGGGCAGTCTAATTACAGTGAGAATATGGACAAAATGACTGGGAAGCGCCCATACATGACGCGGAAGGGATACGTGGGCATGGGTCCGGGCGAGGCATGCCCGGGCGATGTGGTGGTGATACTGTTCGGCTCTCGGATCCCGTACGTCCTGAGACCGTCCGGAGACGGGACGATGTACTGTTTCGTAGGGGAGGCATATTGCGATGGAGTCATGGACGGCGAGTTGTTGACTAAGCGGGAGAAGACGACGTTTCTGATTGCTTGAGTCGGCTGGTTGTCCTATCACAAGAGGAGGAGAAGAGGGGGAGAGGACACGTCTGAGAGTTGGATGGGAGGCAAAGAAGCGCTCGAGCAGCAAAGTTTTGTTTTATCTGGGGTACTCGTCGAGTGTTTCCTCTAAAGGTGTTCTGTTCGACCGTCCGATCTCTATGTGAAAAGTCTATGGAAAGAAAAGCCAGTTCCCCCAATGCCCGCCGTGATGTGTGATGGTATGAATGCAATCCGTGAGATACATCAATGAGAAAAATGAGAGATAAAGGGAAATAGTCAGGTAGAGACTGAAGGGTATTTCAAAAAAGTGAAAAAAGAATCCAATTTGGAATTGTGCGCGCTGCTTTTTTTGCACGCTGATGAGATATGCTGCCCCAAAAATGATTAAACTCCTTTCGCTCGGCCAGAGCGGAAATATTGCCAGAAACCTCCCAGACATTCGTCTGGCGCTATGAACATTGAAGCATGAACAGTGAGCCAACCCTGGCCCAAGACTGCGCAAGTACGAATCCGTGTGCGGAAGCGCGTACTGCGATGAACCCTGCGATCGAGCCGCAGGCAACCCGTGTCCCAAACAGTCCCCCTCTCTCTTCTCTCCTCCGCTGTGCCGTGAATTTGCTCAGTGGTCGTTGTAGTCCTCGTCTCTCATGGTGTACATGATGTCTTGGATAACGACCGCCCTGATGTGGTGGTACAGAACGAAGCAGTAAGCTCCTAGTAGACAGACACTCATTCCTGTTGCGAACCATTTCACGGCCTCGTTGCCCAGTTGGTTGGCGATGGTGATGGTGGCGAGGGTGAAACCTGTGTTGGGGAAGACCATGGCCCACCAACCCAAGTGGAAGTAGACAGGCGGAGATGAGATGACGGCGATGGTAGCGATACCAAACCACCAGGCAGCCAGGGCCCACAAGAAGATGGCGCTCATGAGAGCAATGGTCCTGATGATGCCAGCGTCGATGATGATTCCATCGCGGTCGGGGTCGAGGTTGTTGGGCAGTCCGTTGGCCATGCCGATGAGAGCGAGGGCAGTGAAGGCCGGGGGACCGACGTTCATGAACAGACCAGGGCGATGCTCGCGGTGGGGAAGGCCTGCGGACATGAGGCGGCCGACCATGTGTGCGTACATGAGAACGGCGACGGACAGACCAAGACCTTGGCAAGTGAGGCCGGCAACGACGATGGGCACCGCCGCGATCTCGGGCTGGGTGTCGGCGATGACGGAGGCAATGGTACCAGTAAGCATGATGGGGAAGATGGGAAGAATCCATGTCGGCATCATGGTCTGAAGGCCAAAGTTGTGCCTGGCGAAGACGAAGCTGTACTGGCCGATGGCCAACATGAGCGTGACGATGAGGTAACCCCAAAAGGCTACTTGGATGGCCCAGACGAGAGTCTCATCGTTCTCGGGGATGGCATATCGGTTCGTGCTGGTGATGAGCGTGGCGATGGACAGGAAGAAAGTCGGGAAGAAGAAGCCCTCACGCTCGTGGGTCAGGGACTTCTTCATGTCTCCGGGGTAGAGGAAGAATCTTGTCAACATGGCAGAGCAGACGAGGACGAAGAGGATGATGTTGATGACATAGACGACGGTACCGATTTGCCTCAGTCCGGGGAACTGATGCGGTTGTGCGAAGATGAGAAGAGCAAGACCTCCCGTGCTCATAGTGAGGGTGTACCACGCCCAGGTGAAGTGGTGGATACGTGCCTTCCAACCCAACCTCGGGCGGTTAGGGTCGTTGATGTCAATCATTCCGAGGCCGGGAACATCGCGAAGGTGGCTGTGAGCGGCGGCGTGAGGTGTTGTTCCCTTTTCCACGACGGGCGTGATGGATGTGTTGTAGCCGTCCTTCTCCGTCTCCTTGCCCTTCTTCTCGTCGACGAATCCGAGGTCTAGTGGTGCCAGCTTGGGTGAGTTTGGTCTGGAAGTCTGCCACTCTGCCGAGTTCTTGCGTGTCGACACCTCGGACTCAGTCCATGCCGAGTGTTGGGGATCTCTCCGATCCATTGTGGAAATCTTTCCTTTAGTTTTTGTTTTTTTGTTGTATGTGATGGTGTATATGCTCGCTGGTAGTGACCGGTCGAAGCAGGAAACAGGCAAAGCACGTCGATTCTCGCAGAGAATAAGTCGTTCGCTCGCGTATGGGGTTGTTGAGTGAGTGTCGGTTTGTGGGTAAAGACCAAACAAGAGGAAACTGGGGAAAGATGGGGTATGAAGTTCTTGATATATGGAGGCGACGATGGTGAATGTTGTGAACCAAGAACCAAACAGAACTAAAAAAGGGGCACTTGCTGTCGTTGAACAAGGGGATTCCAGCTCCGGTGGATTGATGCTAAGATTGGAGGTCTTGGACCGGATGATATATCTCGAGAGACTGGAGAAAATGAGAGGGTGCGTAATGAGTCCGGTTCTTCAGACCAAGCCCTGGTTCTCAGAATAGATACAGACTGACTGATAAAACAGGGTATCAGTCCGGTGGAGACAGGTACGTGCAGTCAAGTCAAGGTGAGAGGCATCAGTAGTAGCAGCAAGAAGCAGGGGGGAGTGAAGAGAGAACAAAAATACACCAAAGTGTGTGTGTATGAGACAAGACAGTCCGGTAACTGGAGACTGGACGTATTTGGTTTCTGCCACCCTTGTTTGAGAAGTGGAGGTTGTATGGCAGAAGGGGAATGGATGTGTCTGCTGTCTCTGTCTCCTCCAGGTGTTTGTGAGGCTCACTGACCTTGGAACAACTGTGCGGTACGAGAGAGGGCACGTCTCAACACCAAATTTGGCTCGAAGTTAAGACGGGAGACCCGCAAGAGGGCGTGTACTGTAGGGTGTCTGTCCTATCCATGCTAAGGAAAGCAATATTGGGCTGTGAGAAAGGGTATGGACGAGCGACGAGGAAGATCCACAGATATGAAGATCCAAAGCGGGCGGCAATACCGCATCGCGGTAACATATGGTTACGTTGGCTTTGGTGGCCGAGTGTTAAGACATCCTGCATACCAAGGCCTAGCTTGATGCTGTGTGTGTGTATATGTGTAGTGTCGTGAGGGTGCAATGGGAAGTCGTGTAGTGAGGCTCTTTGCGAGAAACGTGGGCTGGCGTTTGGGTGAGTCGTGGTGGCGGCCGGCCGGCTCAAGGGTTTCCAAGACGTACCCCCACGACCGACCATGCATAGGGTAACCCAGATGAGCGACGACCGTTCGCCAGAAGAGGAAGGATCTCAAGGCCAGGGGTTGGCTGTCGTGGGTCCGGCAAGACGGCGAGCAAGAGGATGGACAGGCTGGCGGTTGAAGGAGAGTTATGGTGAAGGGCGCCTACCGTCGCCTGTCTCAGACCAGGGTCACAAATGCGGTAGCTGATGTACATTGATAGGAGGGAAGAACCTGTGGCCAGGGTCAAGGGGCAGGCCCATCGATGTGAAGTGATACAAGCCTCGAAGTATTTTGGGGCTCGAGGGGTACTCCTGGATCGTCACGGCTTGGGCAAAGACAGCAGTTCGGTCGCAGCCGTGCCAAGAATACAATGAGAGAGAGAAGCGTGCCAGGACGGGAGATGGACTAGGAGTGCGTATGAGATGCTCACAGAGGTAACGAGAAGCAGGTTGGGTCGGCCAATCGGGGGGCCGCCAGGACACCAAGGCCGCGAATCCTCACATGTAGGGACCGTGTGTCACACACACCCGCGGCTGGCTTGCTTCTTTGATTCATTCTTCAAGACTTCCTTATCTGAACAATGGTGGATGGGGGCCATCTCGGCGCCGATCACCCACGCACCGCGCAGGAAATGGAGGTGACTATCATAGCTGCTGCTCTCTCTCTGCTGCTGCTGCTCCTGCTCCTGCTGCACCTATCCGTAGAGACTCGCAGACATAAAGACAGTCCAGGGTTACAGGGGTGGCTGGTAGGTTATGAATCGGGAAATATTAATAGCCCATGCATATGCCTGTTCAAAGCTCGCCTCAGGACGGGCTGGAACATCATGTCTTTGGCAGATACCAGACGACATATTCGTAATTAGTAGGTAGCAGAATACATCATCAACTGTGGTAAGGAACAGCAAGATGGAAAGTATAAGTATCCGATCTCAGATTTCGTGGCGCCCATCAGAGACATTCAGGTAGGACACGCACCGTGACGCACGTCAGAGTCCAAGGGGGCGTCTGCGCACGCGCGGCGCGCTTCTTTCGTTGCGGTCCGCCCTTCCCTTTCCCTTCCCTCCCTCCCGCGCCGCCGTCGCCGCCAGCACGGGAGGATGATGCTGGCAGCTGCAGAGCAACGCTTGAAGCAGCACTGCAGCATGCAGCAAGCATCAAGCACAGCTCGAGTTGTGAAGGGCAGATAAGTGTGTTCCTCACGGGGGACCCCCGGCTGTCTGAGTCGGGACATTCGTTTCACGATCTGAGCTCTGGCCGCCAAGAGATGGGAGGACCCGCCTCTTGGACCTCGAAACACGTTACTGGGTGTTGATGAGAGAAGAGCCATGACGGGGTTCGCATGCAGAGCCTTTTTCTTTCCAAATCCAGTGCATTGCAAATTTGTCCCTCAGCTGGCTTTACCCTGTTTGCTGACTGACTATTGCTGTTGCTGAGCGCCGCATGGACTTGTGAGAATGGAGACAGAAAAGGGCCAAGCCGGCCTCAACAATATTGGACTCCTGCCAGCTCGTGTCTATCGTCTTGGCCACAGTTCGCGCACTGAACAGAAGAAGCGTTCGTAATGAATTGCTGCGCATCTTTGCCAAGACCGGCTCTAGCTTGACATTTCGAATAATTGTCCCCGTATGTCGTGATGAGACTGAAGGAATGCTCCGTATGGTTCATCTGCAAACATCGCCCTGCCACAATATGTTCAGTGTCACCACCGGTCGAGACGTTAGCGGCCTACGCCTCACTTAGATGACGGGCGCGAGTCACCCAGATCATAGATGGCCCATCGCCCAAAACGCCTCAACCTTAACCAAACACTCGAGAATCAGCCCCCACTTGCAATGGACACGAAAATGTGTCGGGACCGAAGAAGAGCCTCGACACAGAACGTCTACTGCAGCAGAAGGGCCGCCGGGGGTTGCAGTGAAGGGGATCCTCTGGCGTAGAGCCCGGATTCTTCCCTCTCCAGTGTTTAGTGTATTTTCGGCGGCAGCGCAAGTCTGACGGGATTCAGGAGACGGAACCCACCCGGGCGAAACACCGCTCTGGCCGGACATGTGAAGAAGGCGACCAGGGATCAGGTTCGGGACTCAAGGGGGCGAAGAGATAAGCGTCGAACAGCCAACGGTGACACTCGACGGGGATGATCAGTAACAATTCCCTTCTCTCGATTCCCATACCCAAGAGTCAAGACTCAGACTTCATCAACATGACCCCTGAAGAATTCGCCGTACCTGTCCCGCTGTCGGACCTGCGGTTGTCCCACCCGTCCAAATTAATATAGAAGTCAAAAAAGAGG